ACCCCGCACCGCTGGCCTATACCCCAGTTCTTGTATGCATAAATAGAAAAAATAATTTGGGGAAAAGTATTGGTTTCATTACTTGATGCCCAAAAGGTTATCACTTTGTAAGAGAATAATCACCCAGATAAGAATTTTTTTCAAATGACCAACTTCTGTTATGCATGAGATTATTTGCATATTTTATACACACTGAATCATACAAAATTGATTACTGTTGAGAGTATTATTTATTTTATTCTAACTCTTTGTTAATTAGTTTACATTCCTTAGGGACCTAAATCAACTTCTAGTTATAAAGGAGTTGTCATTAACCAGACAACCAAAAGAATGTCATTTCCTTTACTGGGCACTTTGGTATTTTTATAAACCTCAGGTATGTTTTGTAAGACTTAAGTGTTATTTCTGACAGTGCTATCCAAATGCCACTTCAGAGACAATACATACCTCTCTCGGAGACTGTGGCAGAGAAAATATCAAGCAGCAAGCTGACATGTCATTAGAAAGGTAATTTGTAATAAGAGTATCTGTGAAATTGAATTTTCAAACAATGGAGTAAACTTTTGTTTCAGGAAACATAAAAGCTCAAGTGAAAATATTGTAAGATCTGATTAAGATCTAAAATATGCCTATATTAAATATATTAGCATATACATAATATATTGCTATGTAAAGTCATATTATTCTTTAATAACATTAACATTGTTAAATGTTAATAACTTTAAAATTAGTTATTGAATATTCAGCAGCATTCTGGGTAAGAGACTGATGATCAAAGGAAGCTCCAACCAGGAGACTGTCTAGATATCAGCTAATATAAAGCAGTGAGCATCAATAGTTTTTATAAAACTCAGATATAACTGATAATTTAGTTTTTCTGCCACAGTAGGTTGTTGCACATAATTATTCTTATTTTTGTTTTTTTTTTAAAGATTTATTTATTTATGCATACAAGAGCTGGGGTACAGGCCAGAGGTATTGGGGGGGGTGAAAGGATTCACCAGAGACAGAGTGGGGAACAGAATAGGCAGATTGACCAAAGTGCACTGCTGAGGGGAACAGCAGGGCAAGTCAGGAGAGGTCTGCTGTGCCATGTGGATTGCTCCCTGGCTGGCCAGGAATCGAATTGGTGCTGCGGTGGCTGTGGATAGCTTCATAGGTTGCGTCTTAACCTGTGCGCCACCAGGGAGGCCCTGCACATAAATATTTATAAACCTCATCTGACCTGAAAGGCCTGACACACCGTAGGAAATGAGGTTGTGTGTGCTTAATGTCAAGTCACAACACGTTAAAGCGAGCTGTAACTATACTAAGGTTCTTTTATGAATGCTTTTCTACCATTAGAAATCTGAAGTATAGTTGAAAAATCTTATGTATTATCACTTGAATTATCCTACCTTCCCCTGGGATTCACACTGGCTTCTCTCATCAAATACTCTGAAATCACAAGTTTTGAGATATCAACAGACATTAAACTGATTTTGCTATTAATCATCAGTAGTTTAAGAGGGAGAGGGCTATTAGTGGGCACTGATTAAAGTTGATCACTTAATGTTTCTAAGAAACATATACTGGGGGCCTCCCCGGTGGTGCAGCGGTTGAGCGCTGGGTTGCGAAGCTGCCGCAGCCTCTGCGGCGCCGGTTCGATCTCCGGCTGCTCCCCGGCCACCAGAGGAGGGTCCCACATGGCGCGCAGACCTCTCCTGCCGCCCACTGCTCCCCTCAGCAGCGTACTTCAGTCCTTCTGCCTGCTCTGCTCCCTGCTCTGGCTCTGGTGAATTCTCTCACCCTCCCGCGCTTCTGACTGTACCAGTGCTTGTATAAATAAATAAAAATAAATCTTTAAAAAAAAAAAAAAAAAAAAAAAACATATACTGCCCAAGAGGAATAGGACTTAAAAAGGGATTTGGAAATCAGTGTTTCACCCCACTTTCATTTGTGATTTGTGATTTCATGATTTCATTTGTAATCCTCCGTATTTGGGAGGTAGCAGGATGCCAGTGGTAACCAATTATGTAGTAAATACGTAACGTTCTGATTGAGGCACACGCGTCTTGCTTATATTCATCACTGTTTAGTGAAATAAGACTCTGTATTCTCTACAATAAGAGTAGGACAGTGAATTGGAAGCAAGGAGAAACTATTAGTTTACCAAGGTACAGGAAATTCTATTATCTAACTTAAAATTTTTCTTATGCTAACAGTTGTTATAGCTCATTTGTTCTGTGTGGAATGTAAATCCTTTGGGGGGGAAATTTACATGCTCTTAATGAGATTTTTCCCATGAAGTCTCAAGAGATGTTTTATTCTTCTTACCTATGATTTTTGCCCTAGAACGTGAAAAAATAAAGAAAATAGTACATATTCAGAGTTCCTGCTCTATCAAAAGTAGAAGAGGGTAAAACTGCAATATAAGTAAGTGTCGGGGGGCCTCCCTGGTGATACAAGGGGTTAAGATGCATCACTATTAGGCTATCTGCAGCCACTGCAACACAAGTTCCATCCCCAGCCAGGGAGCTGACCCACATGGCACAGCAGACCTTTATCTCACCTGCTGCTCCCCTCAGCAGTGTATTTCAGTGGATCTGCCTGTTCTGCTCCCCACTGTCTTGGGTGAATCCTCTCACCCCCCCACATCTCTGGCCTGCACCCCAGCTCTTGCAAGCATAAATCTTTAAGGAAATATATATATTACATATATATTATATATATATATAATATATATATATATATATTGGGCCTCCCTGGTGGCACAGGGGTTAAGATGCAACCACTGCAGCACAAGTTTAATCCCTGGCCAGGGAGCTACCCACATGGCACAGCAGACCTCTCCTGACTCACCCACTGCTCTTCTCAGCAGTGTATTTCAGTCAATCTGCCTGTTCTGTTCCTCACTCTATCTTTGGTGAATCCTGTCACCCCCCACACCTCTGGCCTGTACCCCAGTTCTTGTATGCATAAATAAATCTTTCAAAAATATACACACACACACATGCATAAACATGTGCTCTCAGTAATGAAGAAGCAATTATGTTCCTGGGACAGAGAATTCTCTTTGGGAACATAAAGCCGTGCATCAGAGTATCCACCAAGATGTTGGTAATAACACCAACCACAGAGTAACACATCTTTATAGTTATCTCAATTATAGGACTATATAGATAATGAATCTAAGAAAAGGATATCCATCCATTACTGTAATTTTAGTTTTCCTTTTTCAATTTAAAAAAAAGTGTCCAGGGCCTCCCCGGTGGCGCAGTGGTTGAGCGCTGGGTTGAGAAACTGCCCGCAGCCACTGAAGCGCCAGTTCGATCCCCAGCTGCTCCCCAGCCACCGGAGGAGGGTCCCACATGGCGCGCAGACCTCTCCTGCCACCCACTGCTCCCCTCAGCAGTGTACTTCGGTCCTTCTGCCTGCTCTGCTCCCCGCTCTGGCTCTGGAGAATTCTCTCACCCTCCCGCACTTCTGACTGTACCCAGTGCATGTATAAGCAAAAACAAACTAACAAATAAATAAATAAAACATGCCTCTATAAAAAAAAAAATAAATAAATTAAAAAAAGTGTCCAGGTCCCCAGAATCTCTCAAGAATAACTTTTGAATAATGCATTTATTAAAAGCAAACATATCAGATATTAAAGTCAGTCTTGAGTGTACATTCTTTTTATTTAGTCCATACTAAACAACTCAAGAGATTTTTACCACAAAGAACATAACATTTAACAGTTTTTAGTTACAGCTCATCAGTGAAAGCCTTGGGATAAAGTCTAATTTCAAAGTAATAAAGTCAACTCTGTGAATTAGTATTAACCAGAACTATCACACATGTAAAAGACAATCATCCCCTCCAATAGGGGGAAATACAGAAAAACCTAGGAAAATTAAGTGTGAACAATAAAAATGGGCAGAACAAGTAGCAAGAACAGGGATAGAATCTTTGTAGTGAATTTACCAACTTAAGATACAGAAAACTTGCAAGGGGAAAATAATTTCCAAGTCTCAGCTCTGTTTTTTTTTTTTCCTCTTCTGTAACAAAATACTGTTTTTTCTTTTTCAGAATAAGATCACCAGGTTATTTGGGTGTTTATATCTGTTAATTACCACTTAGTCTCTGATTACAAATGTTTATTTCTATTCAAGGTTTAAAAATAAATTAGGTAGCAGCTCTAAAGGACAAGTGATAAGCCCTACCTTCCTATTGATTTTTAAGTGTGTCTCATGGATATGTTTATTAAACTAAATAGCTTTATTACTTGTAAAAAGTGAGTAATAACCAACTGAGCAGAGAATTCCGGCTATGAGGATATTATCTCTGTCTCCCTGGGCCTCAATTATTCTGATAAAATGGTTAAGGAATAAGTAGTGACAGATAAGTATGTTCTGAAATAAGAAAAGGCATGTTAAATGTTGCTGAGACTAAGATTTTAATTCCTGATTCTGGTTGACCAGATGGATACCATCTGTATATAGACAGAAGCTAGTTACCAGCAAACTGAGAAATTTACTGAATGAAGCCCTCCACTAGTTATGAAAAGCCCAATGCTGTGTAAAATTCATCCAGATCAACTGGCCCCTAGACACTGATTTTTGGGAAGAATGTGACAGAATTACTCAAATTACTATCTAGAGTTTAAAGACTATTGAGAAATAGGTAGGTACTGAGAGATAGAGTCTTACCAGAGCCGACTGAAGTAAACTGTTTGATCCTACAACTGTCCCAGCAAAATCATTAGTCAGATTCAGGCCAGAGTACTACTGGTCCCTGATAAATGAAACAACATCAAGCCAGATGCATTCCTTGATTTTTTTTTTTTTTTTTTAGGTAGCACAGTTTTAGAAAAAAAAAAAAAAGATTTCTCTACCACAAATTTAAACTTTTCCTGTTAGCAACAACGTTTCAAAATTCCAAAACACTAAAACAATGCTTAGAGGAACACAGCATTCTATTGCCCCCAAAATAGGATTTATATTTTAAAACGTTTACAAAAAATATATCTTATAACTTTGAGGTAAAACATCTTTCTTACACAACCAAAAATCGTTAAGTATCTTAGTACATTACCATGTGAGCAAGTCACATTTTAGTTTTGTGCAGTTTTCACAATGTCATACCAATACTTTTAAAATGCAGTTTAACATTGCAGACTTAATATTGCTGCGTATTTTTTTGCAATCTTAGGAGTATAAACTAATCAAGTTCAGTTACTTTTGTACACAGTAAACTAAAGTGAACAGACCCATTCCCTCCCCTTACCCACCAATAAAAATAAAAAGGAAAAAAGAAAATGACAAGAAATGACATTAGGTTCTGGGAAGAGGGAAACCTCTAACCATTAAAGCATGGGGATGCAAAAGTCAGCTTTTTGCACCCCTTCTCCATGTTATAGAAAAACTTTCTGCAACTACTTTAGAAAGAACTTTCAAAAACCTTTCAAGAAGCTCCAGTGGACTTCTGGATTTGCTCCTTTAAAATCAAGATACTCTGCCTTTGCTCAGGAGGTAACATGGCAATCTGATCTGCAGTCAGTTGAAGAACCTGCATGATCAAAGCTGCCTTTTCCTGATCCTGTGGAGTTACTTGGCTCTGCCCAGGACTAAAACTGCTAGTCTGACCTCCACCTTGCTTGCCTGCCCCTTGCATGCCCGTTCCCTGCATGCCCACTCCTTGTATGCCCGCTCCCTGCATGCCTGCTCCTTGTATACCTGCTCCTTGCATGCCAGCCCCCTGCATGCCAGCTCCAGGATTTCCCACTCCTGAAATGCTTGGGACCTGCCTGGGTCCTTGTGGACCACCTGCCCCCATATTAATGGGGCCAGGGCCTTGGATTCCACCAGTCATAGGGCCTCTCGAACTGGGGCCAGGGCCCCTTATCTCCATTGCTCTTGCATCCATGCCTCTCGCTTCCATTCCTCTGGTTTCCATTGCACAGGTCTCCATTGCTCTTCTCTCCATTACTCGTGTCTCTAAGACATCAGTTTCCATGACTCGCGTCTCCATCCCTCGAGAATCTCGACTAACTCTGCCATCCATAGGTAGACCCCTTTGATCAATCATGGGTCCTCTGGGCTCCCCAATTAGCAGTCTGGGATCTCCCAGTGGCCCTCCCCGCATCTCATGTGAAGAAGGACCACGACCATCATGACCAGTGGCATGATGCATGGGGGGACCCTGATGAGGTGGGCCCAAATAGCCTCTGGGCTCTACTTCTCCAGTGACTGAAAGCAAAGTTCCTCCACGTGGATCATTTGGCGCATCTCCTAAAAGTCCGCGAGGAGGCAGGCCACCAGCAGTCATGGGTCCACGAGGTATAGGAGCTCTAGGATCAGACATCTGTACCTGACCCCGCTCTAAAGGCACTGGACCAACTCCTGGCATTCCAACTTGGGGCTGCATTGCTCCACCAGGAGTTAAGGGACCAGGACCAGGTCCAGGAACTGCGGCTGGCATTGGCCCAGGCGCTGGAATTCCACCCTGTATAGGGGTCTGCATCAGAGGAGGAATGTCTTTCACAGGTCTTCTAGCCAAATGCTGAGGCTGAGGAGGTGGAGGATTTTGCTGGTTTAGCAGAACGTTAGGTCCTGGGCAGAGCCCAGGGCCAGGTCCAGAGACAGGCTGAGATTTGCCTGGGATCAGTGGTGTGACGTGTATCTTGCGATGCAGAATTTTCAGAGCAATCTCTGGATCCATGATTCTCATCACTACTTGTGCCTGCAACAGGGCATAAGCCAGCTGTGGGTTTTGAAGTAACATGTTGCGGGCTTCCTGGTGACTGTTTTGGACACAAAGCTTCATCTGTTTCATCAGCTCAAACATCTGCTCCGGAGGAAGACTAGCGACCGCTCTGGTAATTGACTCAGGGGCATCTTCAGGATCTATGGGATCTCCATAGGGTGAGTCAATGATGGGCGCTGCAGGCCCTAAGCTCTTCAACTCCTCCTTGTTCTTTTCACTGGCAGCATTGTCCACCCGCAGCGCTCTCCCGCTGAACTCCCGGCCATTAAGGTTACGCATGGCACTAAGCGCGGTCTCCTGATCTTGGTATTCACAGAAGCCATAACCCTTGGGTTTTCCCGTCTCTCTATCGTATACCAGCCGGAAACTGACAACAGAACCAACCTCCGAGAAAATGTCCTTTAACTGCTCCTCAGTTGCCTCATACGGAATGTTCCCCACGAACACCGAACGCAGGGATCGATCCATTGCGGGGTCTCTCACAGCCAAACTCGACATGATTCCGGTCGTGCACACCGCCGTAGCGGATCCTTCTGAGAGTCGTCCTCTTGCGACCCGCACTTCCGCTGAGCAACGGAAGCGGCTCTCAGAATCGGGCAGAAACCTCAGGCGTAGGCTTGATTCGTTCCGTTTGTTCGCGGAATAAGCAGCTTTCAGTTACACTGATTAAATTAGCGAAATGCTTTCCAAACCTGCCCCTTCGTGGTTCTGTTACGTGTTTATTACCAGGACACATGATTCCTTTCCTGTATCTTATTCCGCAGATTGTACATGTCGAATCCACCGCCCCCGTTAGAAAGACTTGGTACGAATTGACCACAGTAAAGATGGCGGCATAGACTTCACCCTGGTAACCGGGAGGGGCCGCCTCCCGGTTTGACGTCAAAGACGGTTTTGCTTCCGTCCGCCGGGCGGGAAACCGCCAACCGAAAGCTGGTTGAGACAAAGTGGTTTTTTCTAGCCCTGATGCGAGTACTCACTTCAGCCATTTGTTTCCCTTTAGCATAGTATATTTAAATTATATTTAATATTACACATTAGACTATGAAGTAGTGTGATGGTTCCAGAGCAGGTTTAGGATTTACTCCTTAAAATACAAAGTAGATTCTTTTTAGAAATATATAACTGCCCAGAAAATGTAAACGGAACGCTTGTGCCCGCTCCTTCCCTGCCCCCTTCTGCAGTTTGGGACTAACTGCCACCCCACCACGCACAGGCAGCAGCCAAGATACTCGTCGCTTTTCCCCTAATTGTATTAACTGATATTATACTGAGTAATGTTTAGTAATAGTATTTTAGGACTGCAGAGTATGAATTACATTTATTTAATGTTAAAGTGTTGGCATTTCATTGGTTCTTAAACTGATTATTTCATCCCTATTTATGAAGGGAAAAACTATTTCTGTTCTGCCAGTTTTACCCGTAGAAGTTGAAACCTGAAGCGGCGAGTCACCCCTCCCTTTATTTTATTTTATTTTTTAAGGATTTATTTATGCATACGAGAGCTGGGGTGTGGCCAGAGGGGGATTGAACTTGTGCTGCAGTGGCTTAACCCCTTGCTCCACCAGGGAGGCGTCCGCATTTGAAAGACAATAAAACTGAAGCTAGGAGAGAATAAATTGCTAACCAGTGTGTAAGTGGCAAAATCAGAATTCTTAGCCACATTGGTCTGTCACATATCCACTTATAGCTCTTGAGTTCGTTAAAGTGATTAGTGAAGAAGTTAAACTTACAATTTGATTTTTTTATAAATTAAAACACAAAACCCGATATTCAGGTAGGCTACTGGAAAACTTTTCAACATGTTTAGAAATTTTAAATATGGAATCAACTTTTACAGTGATAAATTTTATTAAATCTAAGTAAAAATCAAGTATTTGCAGTTGAAATTCAGCACAATGTGTTATGCATGTAAAAATACTTGCAATATTTTGAAGCCTAAAAATAAAAATGCAAAATATTTCAGTATTTGTATGTTGAAATGATATTTTATTTGTGGCAAAATACACCTTTTAAGGAGTTTCATCAAAAATTGTACTGTTGCAGAAATAAATTCTAGCCTTTTACCCAGGCAGGGGAAGAACAAGCAGAACTTCAGGAATGGTGAGGTCAGGAAAGCTTTATTACTCATGCATGCGGTCTCAGACCAGGGTAGTCCCATAAGGTCTGAGCACTGGTCTGGGGACAAAGAGTTTCTTTTAGACACAACCATTTTACATTGATAAAGTTGGTTAGTTAGCATACAAATTCTTGACACAGGAAAAGGGGAAGGATACAGATCTTCCAGGATGGCCAGGGAGATCAATCACCCTAGCAGGCTGCCAGACCTTGTTTAGATATGCTTATGAAGGAAGCAAACTTATTATTTACTTTACATTTCCAGGTCTATGACTCTTTAACAGGGAAAGATTTCTTTTTCTTAGCACTTCCTTTTCAGTAATATGGGGCCTCCCTGGTGGTGCAGCGGCACAGGTTCGATTTCTGGCCAGCCCGGGAGAAACCCACATGGCACCGCAGACCTCTCCTGCCTCGCCCACTGCTCCCCTCAGCAGTGTCTTCGGTCCATCGGCCCGTTCTCCCTGCTCTGTCTCTGGTGAATTCTCTCACCCTCCCGCGCTTCTGACTGATTTATAAATAAATCTTTTTTTTAAAAAATTGTATTATGTATCTTGGATATTATAGTCCAATGACTATATCAATAGTGAGTACCGAGGTTTACTTGCAGGTAATGCAAACAAGCACAGTGTATTTTAGTAGATTTGCCTGTTGTGCTCACCACTCTCTCTAATGAATCCTCTTGAGACAGGGCAAGCTAGGGTTATTAGGCAGTTTTAGGACAGTGCAGGAGGGGACCTTTGAAGAATTCAGGAAGGCTTCAGAGATAAGGACAAGCAAGGAAATGAAACCAATTCCACTGGGAAAAACAAACATCCCAGCACCACAAATAATCTTGTTAAGGATGGTCCTGGTTTTCTTCAGATGATAAGATAAAGTGTAAAGGTGCTCACCGGGAGGGCTAGACCATAAAAATAAAGATATAACAAATGGGGAAAGACAGACCTGTTAGATAAGGAATGTGAAGATCTCCCACTCAGTAGCAAATTAAGTGAGACAGCCGAAAACTGACCAATCACAAAGAGACTGGTAGAGCTTTAGAATAATCAGGGAAAGAAAGTATATATTCCCTGAGACACGACTTCACTTTGGCTTCCTTGCCCCTCCCAGGCCTGGTTCCCTGGCCTGGGAGTCCCACTTTATTTCTGCTCTTTTCCTCCTCCATAAACTTTTTCTAAACAAACCTGCCCTGCCTCTTCTCGCTTGCTTGCCTGAGCGTCTGTGAAGTTCCTGCTGCTGCTTCATGAGACACCAACCCGTGGGGGGTCTAGTGGCTGGGGCTCAGCGCTGCCCTGCAGCCTGGGATCCCTTCCTGGCTGGGAGACTAGGCCTGACAATTCCGGTATCACTCTCACCCCCTGCATCTCTGGCTTACACCCCAGTTGTTGTATGCATAAATAAATAAATCTTTAAAAAAAAAAAAAAGAAGACATATTTCAATGAAAGATACTGAAATGTTTGCGGTTATGACAGACATTTTTTAAAATAACTGTATGAGGGCCTCCCCAGTGGCGCAGCGGTTGAGCGCTGGGTTGCGAAGCTGCCCGCGGCCTCTGCGGCGCCGGTTCAATCCCCGGCTGCTCCCCGGCCACCAGAGGAGGGTCCCACATGGTGCGCAGACCTCTCCTGCCACCCGCTGCTCCCCTCAGCAGTGTACTTCAGTCCTTCTGCCTGCTCTGCTCCCCGCTCTGGCTCTGGTGAATTCTCTCACCCTCCTGTGCTTCTGACTGTACCCAGTGCATGTATAAACAAAACAAACAAACAAATATAATAAATAAATAAATAAAAACATGCCTCTATAAAAAAAATAAATAAATAAAATAAAATAACTGTATGAGTGCTTTAAGGAATAGATCAAATAAATACTCTCCTCTTAGTAACATAAACATCACATAAAAACATTTAGGAATGTACAGTTCGGGGCCCTATCTAAACTTGTTGCAGCCATCTGAAACTCTGTGTGTGTCTGTGTGTGTGTGTTTGTGCAGAGAAATCTGTACTTTAAACAGCTTCCCAGGTGATTCTGAGGCAGGGTAAAGTTTCAGAACCACTGAATGAAGGGAAAATAATCATTGATAGGGGGCCTCCCCTGTGGCGCAGTGGTTGAGCGCTGGGTTGCGAAGCTGCCCACGGCCTCTGCAGCGCCGGTTCGATCCCCGGCTGCTCCCCGGCCACCAGAGGAGGCTCCCACATGGAGCGCAGACCTCTCCTGCCGCCCGCTGCTCCCCTCAGCAGTGTACTTCGGTCCTTCAGCCTGCTCTGCTCCCCACTCTGGCTCTGGTGAATTCTCTCACCCTCCCGCGCTTCTGACTGTACCCAGTGCATGTATAAACAAAAAAAAACAAAAACAAACAAATAAAAACATGCCTCTATAAAAAAATAATAATAATCATTAATAGATGATGAATGATGATAATAGGTAGGTGGGTAGACACTTTGTCTTCTTTGAAAATATTCTAAGGGCCTCCCCTAGTGACACAGTGGTTGAGCGCTGGGCTGTGAGGCTGCCCGCAGTCTCTGTAGCGCCAGTTCGTTCCCAGCCACTGGCAAGGGTCCCACAAAAAACAAACAAACAAACAAAAAAACATTCTAAGCATCTAGCCTAGAGATGAGCACAGATGGTACTTATTATAAGTTGAATGAATGAAGGGAAGGGCAGTGACCCTAGAGTTAGTTAATCCACACACTTTATTTACACAGGAGCAAAACTTTATCATCAAATAACATGCTGAAAATCAGAATGGGGACCTACTGTCATGACCTTTGTCATTTTATACCTAGGTCAGTGATAGTTCTTCCATGTTTCTTTTTTTTTTTCTTTAGAGATTTATTTATTTATGCATACCAGAACTGGGGTACAGGCCAGATGTGCGGGAGGGTGAGAAGATTTACCAGAGACAGAGCAGGGAACAGAACAGGGAGACTGACTGAAATACACTGCTGAGGGGAGCAGTGGGCGAGACAGGAGAGGTCTTCCGTGCCATGTGGGTGTCTCCCGGGCTAACCAGAATAGAACGTGCACTGCAGAGGCTGCACAGCTTCATAGTGCTGGGCTCAACTGCCTGTGCCACAAGGGAGGCCCTCTTCCATGTTTCAATGGGATAAAAATGATATAAAAGGATGTATGTAGAGATGGGATAGAGTGATAAGGTCTAGATCTTCCAGAAAGGCTTGTTGATGGAACTGGGATTTAAGATGAGGAAAATAAGCCAGGAGTATAAATAGCCAAAGCATGAAATTGGAAGCTAATATTTTTGATACCCTCAGAAAAAACAACAGAATTGGTGAGTAGCATTGTGAGTCTGTTACTCCTAAGCGGCCTGTTTGGCCACCGTTTTGTTACCTGTAGTTCTGCATTCCTATACAAGGTCAGAACTGCCCGGTCAATCAGTCATAGCTAAATCTTACAAGGTGCCTTTCAAATCAATCAAGAGAAGAAAGCCTGATCACCCTGGGAAGTGTATGCACTGTAAGCTATGTCCAGGAACGCCCCGGGGGCTGAGGATCATGTAAGACCAGGGACCCCAGAAACTCATCAGGGGAACACCTTATTGATAAGATTGAAACTGTGACTGGGGATCTAGGGCTTGATCTTAATTACAATACCGAGTCATCAAGCAGATTAAAAGTGCCTGGAGGGCAGACTCACAAC